AACAAAATCAGAAAAAGAAAGCTGGTCTGGTAGATCTACCTGCTGTGAAAGATTTTCCCAAAGTGTGGATAGATTGTCGTCAACGTGTTCGCGATTGTCGTCAGCTGTTTCGATGTCACCACTTTCACCGTGGACAAACTCCACCTTACGGAAACAGTTTGCAATGGAAGTTGACTTGACTTTGATCCAAGACGAGTGTATCATGTCGATGGCATCTTTAATGTTGATAATCGGCAGATTTTCACCGGCATCAAGGGATACAAGCATTCTCTCGACTACCCGTCTTCTGTAATGACTTTTGAAATTTCTTATAACGCCCATATCCATCGGCTGCAATTTTGACGCTGTGTTTGGCGGCAAAAACACAAGTTTGATTGATGTCAGATTACTTACGACAGGATGGGCGGGACAGTTGTCGACAAACATCAACACTTTTTGTTTTTCAAAAGTGAATTTTCTGTCTTGTTTATGAAGCCAGTCTCGAAATAAATCACTGTTCATCCAGGCTTTTCTGTTTGCTGCGTAATCGACAGGAAGGGCATCCAAGTTCACATTTTTAAAACACCTAGGTTTCTTTGATTTACCAAGAACGAGCGGTTTCAACTTTTCTGAGCCATCCATGTTAGCGCATAACATCACTGTTATTCGCCCTCGAGTGTTCGACATGGTGAAGTCAAAACTGAGAGTGACTGCCTCTGTAAAGTCAAGCTTTATTTATCCCTCTCCAAACCCCCAATTTTCACACTGTCTGTCTACTCAGACTTTCCCGTGATTTGCGTGATTTCCGTCCGTCTCGTTGTTTACGTCAACCATTCTCAACCACATGAACGTGATATTTCAACACTTTGCGACTTTGTGTTCATTCATAAAAAATCACACCCATAATCTTGTGTGATTTTATAGTCAGACAAGCATTGTTTGAGATGTTAAAATTGACTGGACAGGTTAATTGTACGCAAACAGTCTTGTATGCATTGTTTATTATGCACCACACCGGATCTTGGCCACATGTTATGATTATAATTATCGAAGCCACTCGGGCATTTGTTCGTTATAAATGTAAACAACCCATTGTTCTCAGACGAAAAACAAGTCGCTGTAACCGGGTTTTCGTAATAAGCATTGTCGTTATAAACGATGCCCATTGCATAGGAAAGTAAGCATTTCAAACGGGACTTTTGTTGTTCGTTCGTTGTAACCGGTTTTTCGTTGTAACCGAGTTTGTACTAATGAGGTTTGACTGTATATGCTATGCTTTCAGTGTCCACATTTTGGCGACGGCTATTACTAATTGACACTTATTAAAAGTTGGTATACATGTAAAAGATTTATAGCTATTGCCACATTAATATCATTGCAGTGTCAAGTCCGCTAAAATCAAACCTTTCTACCATACTATATTGTACAATGTGCTATTTCATTTAATAGTATATATTTCTGCATTCACACTCAAGTATTGAGTATTGGTATAATTTCATCTTTTCGTTTTGAGTCCATTTTCTGAACTTCATTTGTCTGAATTTTTTCTGCCATGTATATGCTAAATTACAAAAAATGATTTCCTATATATTAACTAACCCAGTAGAAGTACACGTTTCTTTGCCTTAATTGCATCAACTCAAAGCAGTGGTTTAGTTGACGCAATACAGACATTCAAGTGAGTTGATGTCTTACCTGAACTCTGAATGAACCCCAAAGAGATAATAAAATAATCACTTTACTCTGAAGTGTGTTGTGATAACACCAGATGCAATGGTCAATTTGGTGCTATTTTCAGAAAAATCACTCTCTAGGAAAAAAGCAATACAATCACATCCATATCTGATCACAGGTTTGATAACTAATTCTACTTTTTAATTTGTTTTCAGAAGTAAGTGATTTTCAATTATCTGCTCTCTAGAAGGAAAAAAATTGGTTTAAAATGATGTATCTAATTTTCAGTAAATAATTAGGATTACCGAGGCAACACTGTATTAAGCATATTTATAAATTATTAGAAAATCAGTTCTGATAATAACTTTAATAACTTTTAATGCATTTAATATTCGGTTCACAACTATTGTCACATTATATCTCTCTGAAATATCCCTCTTACAATGTACCAAATTATGTTGTGCAAATTATGAAGTACATGTAGTTGTGTATAATTTTGAGCTTGACAAAATGTACATTTTGATACATACATACATACATGCATGTGACGAAATGTACCATAGACTCAAATTGAGGTACATGTATGTGTTTGGGTTGTAGAAAAAAGAACCTGTTGGAGATGCTGATGAAGCAGTACCAGAAGATGTTGTTGCCAAAATGGAAGCACTTACTGAAGATCTTTTAAAGGTAACAAATATTATAATATCTGCATTGGAATATGGAATACCAGCAGGCAACTAATGTTATTATGAATTGAATTATGTTGACCACTGTTGTGTTGAGCTTTCACAGTTTAGAAATAAGTGTCTAAATAACGTTTAATTAATTGACAAGTTTATGCATCAGAATCAGAATCAGGATGTGGTGCGTTATAAAACATATTAACTGGTTTATTGGTGCATTAGCATACTCCCATTTCTGATCAGCAAAATCAGTCTTTATTTTATTATTTTTGGAATTTCTCGGGGAGGACATGTATGCATGTTATTATTGAGTCAATATGTGTTCAGCATGCTACATTACTACCTGGAGATCAAAGTTATCTTTGGAATGCTCAACCAATACTGTTATTCATTGTCTTTATTTATGGTACAAATCATTGATGTTTTTTTTTCATATCTCGCTATCTTCTCCTCAGTTTCTCACATCTTCTTTTCCTAATATTCAAAATCATCACTGTTTATGTAATTTTGTAAGTACCTAGATTAGAAACTGTAATGTAATGTTTTATCAATAGATGCAAGTCTTTCTTTTTTGTTTTTCCACCACAGAATTTAACCGTGAATCAAATCAAGAAAATCCGAGTTTTAATTGACGAATGCATAGCGAAATGTAACAGTGAAAGGCTGGAATTTGAGAAAGTTCGTAATGAAAACTTGAAAGAAATCGGAAACATGCTTCATGAGTCTGTGCCTATTAGCAATGATGAAGTGAGTACTATATGCATCTTTGAACATATAATTGTATTAAACATTTCTGAATGCATTGACTGGCAATGATATCGTATGATATCGTACGTCTACATGTGCAGAGTTTTTTATATCACAACATACATTTTGTATCTCGGAAAGTGGGCTGGTTATCATGCATACATTTTAAAACATTAATTTAAAAAGTCATGTTCATCTGTTTTAGGATGAAAATGAAATTGTACGCACATTTGGCGAGTTGGATGTTCGTAAAAAATATTCTCATGTTGACTTGATACACATGATAGATGGTATGGAAGGAGAAAGAGGTGCTGTGGTATCTGGCAGTCGAGGATACTTTCTCAAGGTAAGGATTTTAAGGATTTCACTACTACTTGTACCAGACTGTATAAAATGGTGGCCACCTATAATTTTGCATAATGCAGTGTACTACTGCTATAAAAAAAGGTGGCATTGCAGGTCAGTTGATTTGCCTAGTGATCTGGGAAAGTGGCCACTTGGGGGCACTTAGTTCCTGTTTTCAGATGCAGGTCAGACCGATTCATCAAACCTAATTGGCAACTCATACAATCTACATATAGAAAATGATATACCATAGCTACATTTATGAACTATACTTAATTTTACATATTCACTGAGTTTTAATTTAGTGCATTTTTAGTGCAAACCCAGTGAATATTTTTACAGTACTATGAATTGTTATTAGACAAGACTTCTCATGCAATATTGGTCAACATACACAGCAGCAATAATTAGTTGCAAAATAAACTATAAAAAAAGTTATTTTTATTCTTGATCAAAATTATGTGGAGTTACTTTGTGAAATGTGAAACAAAGCTGCCTTTGGTGTTGATGGAGATGGTCAGGGAAAAATGGATGGTTGAGATTTATGTTTTTTTAAAATAATTCACACTGATCTTCATATTGCCTGTATTAGGGGGCTGTTATATTCTTAGAACAAGCATTGATTCAGCACGGGTTGCGAATACTGGCCGAGAAAGATTTCATTCCACTGTACACACCGTTTTTCATGAAAAAAGAAGTTATGCAGGAAGTGGCACAGCTGAGTCAGTTTGATGACGAACTTTACAAGGTGCGAGAAAAATATGTACATTTCACACATTAATAGTACTGATATTAATCATACTTTGTTGTATTCTCGTGATTACATTATTATTATGCTTCTTTCCTTGTTTGTAGTTATAATGCTTGTACTTGTAATAGTGTACAATAGCGAAAGTGTTCGAAAAGGTGAAAAACCTGGCAAATTGTGTAACTTGTAATGATTATTTTGAGAAATAAATTTGTTGCTATCACTCCATCTCTCTAGGTCATCGGTAAGGGTAGCGAGAAATCTGAAGACTCTGGCTATGAAGAAAAATATTTAATAGCAACCTCTGAACAGCCAATAGCGGCATATCATCGAGACGAGTGGATACCCACTGCAGACCTACCTATAAAGTATGCTGGGTATTCTACCTGCTTCAGACAAGAAGTTGGATCACATGGTAGGGACACAAGAGGAATTTTTAGAGTGCACCAATTTGAAAAGGTGAGATACATGTAGTTGTATGATTGACAATAGATGTTAGAATCAAATGGTGACCATGCAATCTCATTGAGAGTGAGATGTGACCGGTGTTTTTGCGAACACAAATGGTGCGGTAGATGTTACCACTGGCTACAGTGTACATTAATAGTTTCTTGGTTAGTTGTGTTTAGTGCTTACACAAAGTACAATCTGAAACTGCATTGCATGATGGGACTGCATGTATGTTGAGCTATGTCACATAATGTTTTATGTTGCTAAGATGTGCACCACTGTACCATGTATTTTTATTGGGACTGCAAAAGCTGCTGTAGAGCTCTGGTCAAAGAGCCGATGAAAAATTGATAACTGTTGCATATGTAGACTACAATAAATTATAGAAGACATTACAACTTTAATCTCCCATGGTAGTTTGTAGCATATTGATGACACAATTATATTGTGTATTGTATTGCATGTCCATTGGTGCTGTGATCAGCTAACCCACTCACCTACAATTCTTACATTTGCGTTGTATTTTCAGGTGGAACAGTTTTGTCTGACTTCTCCTCATGAAAATAAGTCATGGGAAATGTTTGATGAGATGATTGGCAATGCTGAAAATTTTTACAAGTCACTTGGTATCCCGTATAGAATAGTCAACATAGTGTCGGGTAAGTCATGTTGTTTACATCAGATTTCTGATGAGAATGAGACTCGATGCTCATCGTCATGGAAACAACATGCAGCTGCTCTATTTTTTCAGGACCTCTAAATAGACAGAGTGAACCTTCTTCACACACTGCTTTTCTGATGCAAACATTTCTTTGGTTTAAAGGGGCACTTCCAGTTAAGCCTAATCTCACAATAAATTTACTTTCTGGATTAAAATTACAATGGATAACAAAAGATAGATTAACTTTATAAACAACATAAACAATAGTGTCCCATGATTCTTTGGTACAATCCCTGGGCTTGGAAGGTTCTCCTTTAAGTACTTGGGCCCCTATACAGGGAGGTCTGACACCAACATACGTGGATATACTTCACTATGGCAACTATTTTAAAACCTAACAACAGTTGACTACATGTAATTATTCACACATTAAATAAAAATTGTTATTTTTTACACTTAATGAAGTCACTTAATTCGTGTGTAATAAATAAATTTTTGTTCATTTTGAACACAAATGTTGGTTCATAAAAGCAAATATATACTTTGTATTGCCCATCTTCGTAAATCTATTAAAAGCCAGATGAACAAGCCATGCAGTAATTTTCCATATCATGCCTAGCCTTGTTTGACAAGAAGACACGACTTGTTTTCCATATGTGGTATACACATACACTTGTTTTCCATATGTGGTATACACATACACATGTTTTCCATATGTGGTATACACATACACATGTTTTCCATATGTGGTATACACATACACATGTTTTCCATATGTGGTATACACATACACTTGTTTTCCATATGTGGTATACACATACATATGTTTTCCATATGTGGTATACACATACACTTGTTTTCCATATGTGGTATACACATACACATGTTTTCCATATGTGGTATACACATACACATGTTTTCCATATGTATATCTACACATAAACAACACAGGACTAATGTACACTAGTATGCTATTTCATATGTGCATACTTACCAGCTTATTTGCATGTCAGTCCTTCATGTGCATCCTGTTTTCACTGTACTTCACCAGCAGCAACCCTCTCCTAATGACTGAAATTTTTTGTCTTTCGCAGGTGAACTAAATAATGCAGCTGCAAAGAAGCTGGACCTGGAAGCCTGGTTTCCTGGTTCCGGTGCTTTCAGAGAGCTTGTCTCCTGTTCTAATTGTTTAGACTATCAAGCCAGAAGGTTGCTTGTCAGATATAGTCAAACTAAAAAAATGGGAGGACAGGTGAGTGTTTCCTCAACCGACCCTGGTATTTATATTGTAACCAAATTGTATCTTGTTTGATGCATTGCTAGTAGTTCTGTACAGCCCGCATGCCTGGATATAGGCACTTCTGTAGTGAAATGATGTTTGACTTTCTATAATTTGCAACTATAGTTTGAAACTGTGTCATACATGGGGTATATGGAATCCTGATTTGTACATCATAACTTGGGTACTATCTTGGTAATAAACAACTGGTTCCAGCACTCATCCACATAATAAATCACACAAGCATAGACTACAACCAACAACAGCTTTATTGAATTGAATGTATTATGTAGAAATTTCACCACTACCAGAGTGGCTTCCGCTAGGCACTAGATTGGCAAGATAGTTGGTTTGGACAAGACTATTGTATTTATATTACTTAGCAACAATCTCCTACTTTTGTAAGATTATCTTTTTTGAGGTCAAGTTAGACTTGCATGTAATATCTATTAGTTCCAAAACTCCCCGAAACCTGGTCAATGAACATGATTTTGTTTGTTATGTTACTTTTCTAAACAATAAAAATACAGCTTCTATGATGACTTATTGCAAATGGGGGTGTGAATGGGTCAACTCAATTTTGACAATTAGCTGTTAAATACTTCTGTCCCACTCTGTTAATAGTGGTGGTCTTGGGGGGGGGGGCGGTACTGGATGATGCAATTAACAAAATCTGACATGTCTGTGAATCTTGTATAGTGTTGTGCTTCTGTCTTTGCTTACTTAAATTTCATTGCCTTTATTTACATCACAGGCTGAGTTTGTTCACATGTTGAATGCTACCATGTGCGCTACCACGCGTGTTATCTGTGTGATTTTAGAAAACTATCAAACGGAAGAAGGTATAATCATCCCGGATGTTCTTAAGCAATATATGCCACCAAGTAAGTGCATTATGGGTAATTTCAGTGTTAAGTTTTCTGACTCTAATAATAATTTACCAGAAACATATTTATGCATTATTTATAATCTGTTTATTTGAAGTCTGTCATTAAAGGATGATTGTGTAATTCTTGAAATTAAAATCTTTTAAATACTAATCAATATTATATCAGTCGCAACAGATCAGTCCTTTACACTCTTCTTTTTTCTTCAATTTAATCAGATTTACAAGATATAATAAAGTTTGTGAAACCAGCTCCGATTGATGAACAAGAAGCTAAGAAACAGAAGAAAAAGGAAGGAAAGAAGAAGAAAGCTAAGACTGAGGATGCCAGCGGTCCAGTTGAGAGCACCGCTGAGAAAGTGGACAAACTAAAATTGGATAAGTGAGGGGAAAATACCTAAGACAATCAATGAAACAGAAATATCAATGCAGTTCTTACCATTCAACATTTTCTATTGCCTTTTGCTTCTGTGGCAATCGTATTATTCATCAGAACAAGATTCTCCCTTGGCAGTCAAATAAATACAAATAACTACAATCACTCGTCAGGTCATATGACATTGAAACGTATATCTAATCTTTCCTAAGTCATGTGCATGTTTTTTCCATTATACAGCATAATCAATTTACTTCTGCTAAAGAACCTTTTTTTTTTACGAAAAAAACCATACTCAGATCCTTTGATTTCCTCAATGGACCATTATCATTATATCACAGTATCATGTACAATATGTGAGAGTTCAAAAGAAGCGGCTTCTTTTATAACATTTGAAAAGCAGGAGGGTCGTCAATTGCCCACATGTGGGAATTGAGTCTAAAGCGATGATAGCACATGCTAAGAACGCAAAGGTTCATGTGTAGACGCTTGTTTGTAAACAATGACGCGCTATGCTTCAAAATTAAAACATGAAATTATACGTGCGACTCTCTAAGAATTAAGGAATTCTTTCAGCAGGCAATGAGTTAAAGAGAAATTAAATGTGTACATTGCATTTCAATACTAAAGTAGTTTTCAATATAAACAGATCATTGCAGCATTGACTGTACCTCATAGATGTTGGGGTTGAACAGCGCCCTCAGTGTCAAATAGCTATAATTCTTTTGTTCATCTAATACTCTCGATATGGTTGTTTTCTCAATTAATATGTGTACTCCAGTGAGTTTCTAAATGGCAGCATTTTACAATAACCATGAATGTACTTGAAAATGTCTGATATTTAATGCGTTACCAAATGAACAATGTTAATGTTTGTTATAGATGCACAATTTTGCATTACTTGGCAATATGTCATCTTGCGCAATCTTACTTCACTGAAGCCTCTCACATAGAGTGAACTTTAATGAAAGCACTCACTTGGGGTGCCCTTACTTCACTGAAACCTTTCACTTGGGGTGTCCTTACTTCACTGAAACCACCTAGGTTGATCACAATTCACTGAAACCACTCACATTGAGTGATCTTAATTCACTGAAACCACTCACTTGGGATGATTGTATTTCACCACAACCACTCACTTGAGGTGTCCTTATTTCACTAAAATCACTTCACTGAAACCACTCCCTTAGTGTGATCTTACTTGCTGTAACTCATCACTTGGGGTGTCCTTACTCTGCTGTAACCACTCACACAAGGTATCTAACTTTGCTGAAATTACTGGTGGCCATGTTTCTTACAGAAAAACTAAATTTGACTTGGATAAAAAGTATTGTGAATCTGTCTTTTATTTTCCAGCTCTGAGCATTGTGTCCGATCACACAAATATATTACTAGTATCAAGAATATAAATTTCTTATACATGTGCAATGTCAGAATTGCGACAATTAAACCAGTGAATGAACTTTAAGCCTGTACAGTTTTGTGTAAAATGATCCTGTATTGAATTAAACCGCTGGCATAAATAAATCTAAAATACACATCTCTGTTTCTGTTTTCAATTTGTATGAACCAAATCTACATTGTCACTACTGCGATATTCAAAGGTTAGTGTGCTATCCAGTAATGGTCAGGGTCGCAGGTGGAGCGAACTTGCATTGATGGATGTGTTTGAAGAGTTCTGTTTACATAACTGTGGTTACCTACTTAAAACCATTCTGACAACTCTGGCTTATATCGCTGTGCTGTTCTGATTTGTAATTTTTGTCGTGTGTTATGAATATTTTATGTAAATTTTGCTGATGTTCATCCAATATCAGTTTTGAAGCTTAGAATTGAAATTGACAAGGGAAATGCAGCATGTAGGTCAAAGATACTAATAGCTGCATTGCCCCCTTTTAAAAGTACCATACTGTTCTTATGTACAGTTAATATCCATAAGGTATAATGAGATATAACATCCTCTCGTATTATGGAGTATATTTTGGCCTTGTCTGAATTAGCACCCTTGTTCTCCATTTGTAACCCAAACTTGATGAAAGTCTGGAACTATCTCTGCAATTTGGCCAACTGTACAAAAAATGTGTTTTTTCAAGCTATACGTTTTAAAAGAAAAAAACAAGTGCAAATTTGAGTTTTGGGTCATTTAATGCTTGTAAACACTAATAAAAAATGTGAATTAACTTCAGAAGTTTGTTTTTATATAAGGAATTTTGGAAATTGTTAATAATTGACCAAAGAACATGTAATGTGGTAATGGGCACTGTATGAGAAATGCCAAATCACATTTATGGTACACTGATGAGCACTACAAGATGTCCAATGTTGCATATGATTCACTGGGATGGGCACTGTATGATATAGTACACCATAGCAGAGACTATGATCAATGTTAAATGATAAACCATGTTTGGCACTTTGTAAGAAATACCATATCACATATGACACGCCATGATGGCCCCTATACATGAATCACGCCATATTATTTATTTTCACCCGGATGTGCACTGAATGCTTAGTGCCAACGTAGTGTTGAAAATATGAATATTATCTCTGAAATAAGAAAGAAATACTCTCAGAAACCACTTACCTTAAAATGCATATATACTATTTCTCGGCCGATCAGAATGCTCAGTTGACTATATATTCACATTAAATGTACTGTATTCGCGTCTGACTGTGTTCTCAGTTTGGCAACAACTTTGAATATTTCAACTTTCGTTGTTCTCATAAACTTCTAGGTTGTTATACCATACAAGTGATATAAACCGTTATACTTAACAGCGGCGAGAAAATTTACCGAACTATAGCTAAAACCAAGGCGATTTCTAAAGTCATACCCGCGGACCGGAGATACGAGCTTTGAGGTGGGTAGGATGTCCCATGAACTAACCGGAACTCGATTGGCTTTCATTGGCATTGGTTTTTGGGCTGCATCGTTTGCCAGATAACGGATATTATACAAGTTAGTCGAAATGCAACCCTTCCATGTCCAAGTTGTGTGAGAACGCTTCGTACCCCCTTGTGTTGCCTTCGCGCATGGTGCAATGCAATGTTCTCGCCTTGGCCTTTCATATCAGATTTATTTCACAATATTTTTGACTGGAAATTGTAAATCGAAATTGCAGACTTTATATCCCAGAAAAATCCTCATTTTTAGGACTTTATCCTATAAATAATTAGCTAAATTTATATTGTAAAATTATATATACTCTATGTGAAATTCTAAATACTAGTAAGCAAAAGATAACAATGTGATTATATGAAAATACTAATTATGATCCGGATCTCCGTATGTAGTACAATACATTGACGCGTATATCGAATACAATAGTGTTAGTTGTATCAAAATTCCGCAATAGCTATTTGATTAACCTTTAAAAAACGACCTGCCTTCTTTATTACGATGCAGATTTATAAGGTGCTTCGGTGTTATCTGTGGGTTGGATGTGCTCATTACTTGGATCACATGTGACCTGGCATATGTTTTTGTCTATAATTGGTAGGACCACCTTGTAACATATTAACTATTGGCAGGTGCTATTGCCGACGTCATAACATCCGGGACATGGCAATCAGCAGACGACAACAGTAAGTGTGACTCGGCGCCCATTCTTGTCTGCTCCAGAGGCCAATTTCGAAATACATTGTTATTATAACCCAAATGGGTAGTGTTTAGTCAACAAATGAAGAACTAGTACTACATGGAAAAGATACTGTGCGACGAGGAATAGTACACCACGCTATATAGCGGCGTCACTTTTGTGTCCGGAAAGTGAGGTGAGATTGTATAAACAATTATTCCAGAACTTACGCTAATACTTTAGTGCATTGCCCATTTCATTCGCCTTCGTACATACAATAAACGTGCCTATTTGATTGCTTAAATTACAGATGAGTGTCAATCAATATGCTCGTTTCTTTGAAATAGTATACTAGCACAAAATCCCGCGAGTCAGCCGTCAGCGGTTTTAATGGTGAACCGATCGAGCTGGTGGGGGATTATATAAACATTTGAGCGAGTATCCAGGCACGACAAAATAACATACAGGAAAAGGCATAAATACAAAGAGTATATCCGAGCACTAAACATGCTGATTAGACATACGCTTTCATAATAAACCGAGTGACGTCCCGAAAAATGTTAGGAATGTGCGCGCGATGTTCTTCTGACTCACTTGTCTGCCATAAGATGACGCACAACAAATGTTGCAAGTGTACAAATATAAATTTTTTTTCGATGTTCGTACATTAACCATGAGCTAGAATTTCATACAGTCTCTTGTTTACTTGTTAGTGGTTTTTTCAATAAAATCAAATATCATGTGACTGTGTAAAAGGCGACAGCCAGGTTACCGTGAAAGTCGGGTTACCGCGAAATAAACACGCGATATTTCGTGGTAATAGGTTTTCGCCATTTATACACTCCTATATTTTATTTTATTGAAAAGAAACACCAGAAAATAAGCAGCAGACTGTATGCAAGACTATGTGTTTGCCTTTCACAAAATAAACCTTGAACATTAATTTCCGTAAATTACAACCATTTTGATATAAATGTGTTGCTTGTGGAAAATTATTTATTTGGCCCAAAATTAAAGTTATAGAAAATAATATTTGTTGCCATCATAATGCTAGCATCTTGATGCAGGAAGCGTTCAACAGTTGGACTGTACTAATATTGTATACAGACATTGTTCTAACAATGTAGATAAAATATGTTCTAATTTGTAAACGTGACAACGACGTCCATTTCAATCTGATATATTATTTCGCGAAAACAAATTTGCCCGAAAATGTCAGTTCAACAGTATACTCAAATAAATAGAGAAATAGCAATCTGGCACTAGTATTAACAAGTGCGTGTTTGTAGCGCCCTATTTAAGGCTACTAAGTCAATCAGCACAAATTTGATTAGTTTGGAGGTTGGAAAGTGCAGTATGGTATGCCAACTGGTATGAACAAAAGGCCAATTCTACCAGCCGTAAGTCTATCTATGCAGTTTTAGTTGTACTCACTTTTTAACTCAAGGGATTGATCATATAATCTTTTCACATGATTCTTATATATAGACATTCCAGGGACAAGAGTTCAAAATTTACTGCCAGAATAAATAGATGTGCTTTTCAGATTGAATATTCAATAGCAACATGTTTTATGTCGGAGGTTTTATAATGATCTGCTTCAATCTACGCTATTGGTCAGAATGCTGTTCGAATGAGGCGTACGGAACTCCGTGGATGATGTAAATATTTAGAGGCATCCGGAACGTTACTATCTGTGTCATTATGAAGGACATATGCCCATCTTAATTCATATTCTAGAAATAACTTAAAAAAAGAAATGACATGCATAAACAATGCGGTATGTGGCGGTTGCACAAACCAACCACGTTTATTGCACAATCGTCCTTATAAAAGACCATTATCAAATAAAAGTAATACATGTATACAATTTGACTCCGTGGACACCGTGTATGTCACAATCTGACTGAAGGCAACGAAACACAAATATATATATATATATACATATATACATATCCCACCACCTGGTAAATTTTACTGTAACAATTGACCAATGACAAGCGTGGAAACCCAAGTGTGAAAATACATGACGAATAGTTAGCAGTCATATTCTAATTTGCAAAACGTATATGATGCTCCTTTCCAAATATGGTCAACTAATTTATTCAGTTGTGTATAACATGCACGTCTGCTTGGGATATGTAACCGACTTACATTATAACATAACGTAATTTCCAGGCAAACAAACAAAACGTGTAATCGGAGGGTACAAATATTAATGGCAGATATCACATTTATCGGTCAGCAAAACATCACAACGTTTGAATAATAATAATTGTACCAAACTGTCAATATATAACTAGAATAATTAAAAAATAACCATAATTTAATATTCTAATATGTCTTTCAGGCGAATCGAGTTTAAATAATATTAGCCGCAATTCCCTGACATACAGTACTCATACGTAGTACACTGAGTACTTTAACATATGGAGTGCAGCTTGGCGCAGTATCACAATCATTATTAGCAGAAACTTTAATATCCAAGTGCGCGTATTGGGAGAATTAACACGATTTCAACTACCCTTTACAGATGCTTCACCTGTGCGTAGTATCTGTGGTATGCTTTTACACGGGCGACTTGACAAGCTTGTACAAAGAAGGAAATTGAAAGCAAATTGTAAATAAATCAACAGTGATTGCATTCTGAGTTTTTGGAAGGTAAGAGCTTTTAGATAGGCACTTTTGATGATTATCTGTTGTTGAAATTCCGTGTTTTGATTATTCTTGACCAGGCTGAGAAGCTCGTTCATGTATTACATCGCATTAGACCAAACGGAATAAACATAAATGACAGACTTAGGTTTTGAACACCCTATTGTTTTTGCCAAAAACTCGGTGCAACATTTTACACATTTGTTTTCACTGTTAAAATTTGACCTAATGGACACAAGTCCCATTAGTCCCATTGGATAATGTCTTGATAAATGTTTTTGAAAAAATAGAAACATTTATGTAG